GGATCAAAAATACATACACTTGCTGCCAGAAAACTTATTCAAGATATTGAAGATGGAACTTCATTTATTCATAAGCACCCAAGAAATATGGGAAAAAGTTTAGCAAACTCATTTATTCGTGAGCAAATTGTAAACTTGGGTGTAATGTATAATTTAGCTTCTAAATATACAAGGTAATCTTTTTTTTAATTTTTCTTAACGCATTATTTTTAATAGCTAATCTGAACATTAATCATTTTTTGATATAATTAGTTTTCTTGCAATTGATGAAAGAGATATTGAGTTAGTAGCTGAAGCTAAAAGTTTACCAGGTCAAAGAATAGTCCCAGCTGCTGTTGCTTGTAAAGGTCGTCCCGTAGCTTATCATTCCTCGGTTTCTAGATCAGCTAAAGCTTGTAAAGCACGTGTTACTTATTCTTCTTCAGAAAGTAAGTAATATATTATTATAATTTAAAAGCAATTCAATATAAGATATAATTTGTTAATTTACTGGGTTCTTCTCATGGATCAGTAGCAGCAATATTTTCTTTAAGTGATAAGGATGAGTCGCAAGATTTTTTACACTCTCCGTCTTCGGGTGCTTATTTTTCCGGTGAAATTAGTGAATCTTTTGAACCTATGTCTCTTACGTATTTGAATGTTTCTTTATCCGATGTAATTATTGATTCATTTGCACCAGTTTTACCAACTATTTCTGTAAAATCGAAACCTCCAAAGATTGAAACCCTTTATAAGTTTCTCGATTTCCAATCATTTGATGGTTCATTTTTAATATCTACTACATTTTATTCTTGGTTTGGTAAAAATGACTTTAAAGATTTTGAAGTTATTGGAGTTGAAAATGAAAAGGTATTATGTTTGGCATTGGCAATAGCATATTTGGAAATTATAATGTTTGAAACATTTAAGGATGAATGTGAGATGTGTTATGGAAAAGCTAAAAAAGCTTTGAAAAAAGAAGTTGGTGATGATGAACAAAAGATTCATGAAATTTTGGAAAAAGTTAAAGAATGGGTTAAAAAGTGGGCAGATGAATAATTGCTTAGTATTGTCATGTTTTATTTAAATTACTAGCATTCGGATATGCTTTATTAATTAGTGATTTTTAAATTTAAGATCAAAATTATATATATTTTTTTATCTTTAGCATGTAGTTAGCGATTATAAAGGTCATTTATTGATTTTATGCATACATAAAAATAAATTTATTTTGTAAAAATTTACTACATTATTATTTGTAAATGCTTTATAGCTGTTAACTAAGTTGGTTATATTGTTTGTTTCTGGTTAAATAAGTTGGTTATATTGTTTGCTTCTGGTTAAATAAGTTTGTTACGCACATATAATATCTATATAACTAGAAAAAATAATGATGAGTTGGATAATCAATATTATTATCTATATTTTTTCATACTAGATTTGTTAATTTTATTTTTTTTAATATTAACGTTAATATTTATTGTGTAATATAGATTCCAATGTTAATAGTTTGAAAATTCCAGACAATTGACATACTCTAAGTCAATAGATACGTAGAGAGGACGACTTTATAAGTTGCGACTCAGCCACTATATAACTTTAAATGGGCAAACTAATTACTTACTACGCAAAAATTTGTAAATGAAAGTTAAGTATAATAAATGTCTTGCACATGACATTTTTTATCAATCCGACGAGGCATAAAAAAGCTCTATTTTATAAAAATTGTATCTACTATTTGTTTAACAGATCTTTACATTTTTTAATTATCATCTCTTCATTTCCCGTTTTATTTAAAGACAAATTGATAATAAATCCAGCTTCATTAAAATTTCAGCGAATCGGACTTGAAACTAAAAATATTTTAGGATTTTAAAAAATTGGTTAGAACAAAGTATTTTGTTATCATAATAATGTTCGTAAAAAATATTTATTCATAATATAAATAAGTTCATATTAAAAGTGTAGTCCATTATTGTTATTTTTAAGATTTTATTATATATAAATATTATCAAATTATGTAATATATTTCACAATTCTTTTAGCAGGCTTTATCCTGTTGCATAAAGTAATTTTAAAATCATGTATAAATTCTATTCTGGAAATTTTTTCAAAAAAAGTTGAAAGCCAAAACAAGTTTTTGTCAATGCCTTTTTTTTAGTTTGAATAAAATATTTTTTCTCTCTTTTTTATTTTCAACATAATAGGTTTATTTCATTTGAGTTCATCTAGTTTTCATGAAAAGATTTCTTTACATGAATGGACTTTGAATTAAAAATTATAAAAGGCATAGATTAATTAAATACAAAACATTTAAAACATCAAGCTATATAAATATAAAGCAATATAATTATTAAATACTTAGCTTCAAATTAGGAATATTAATTGTTATTGGTTGGTTGGTTAAGGTTTTTAAAATTATAGACAAATGAACATGCAGAATTACCAACAAGGGAAAAATGATTGTAAACAATTAGATTAAAATCTCGAGGATACTGGTTTATAACTTTATTAAAAGAAGATATTTCTCTAAATATATGTTGCCAATGTAAATTGATTTATATCTTACAAACTAGTTTTTTGATAAGTCACATCTATAATATATCTTTTGTTAATAATTGTTATAGTTGAAGCTTGAAACAACTAAAGATTGAAATTTTAAATACTTTAATATAAAAATTCAAAATTTTTGATGTGCAATTTTTTAGCATTTTTTTGTAATTAGCTTAGAATTTAGAGTTAGTTTTGATAATAAAATGTATATGTGAATTTTGGTAAAGTTTATATTTTTAAATTAAGGTCCTTAATTTCAAGCTATAGCTGTTTTGAGTTTAGCTATAACAATAATTAAAAATTATATTTTTTTGCTATTAATAGTAATTTAATTATTTTTATTTGTTTTTTTTAAGTTTTATAACTAGCCTCTTTAGGCTTATAGTTTTATTCAAGTATATAGGTGAGAGGCTTGCTTATGGAACCTCAGTATATTATATTAAAATGCAGATTTAGCTTGTATCATCAGTACATCTCAGCTATAATTATTTGACATAAGAAGTCCCAGATGCTTTCATGATACTTTTAGGACTAATTTATCATTGAGACATTGTTAGCTAGAGCTTTCTATACCCACAATTCAGCTTACCTAAACTTCGGTAACTTAGGCCAAGTCCAAGAACAAGTACTTGCGAGTTAAAGCTGCTATTGTTATCTACTTCTGTTCTTGCAGAGTTTACCCAAACTCCAGCACACACTTTATAGATTATTACCAGTATCTAAGTTCTGTCAAAAATCTAAACTTCCAATTCAGATAGCCTGAAGGGGCTATAACCTGCTCCTGGTTTCCATGGTTAGGTCCTTTTCCTCTGGTTACTTATCTGGCAGCCTGGTTGGTATAGTGTCTACCAAACACTCAGTTCTCATTCAGATTACTAAAATCAGTATTCAGATCTCTTAGATAATCTTTATATAGTACATTAAAGATTTGTACAATCTTTCTGCTTAGAGCTTGCCAAGCAGGCTTCTATTTGCCTTATAGCCTAATACCTGGATTAACTCAGCTGCTTTACTTGAGTTTTGTGTAACTCATATATTACAATAATATTCCACAGCCTCCCAGTAAACTCTGGTACAATCATGTTTACAAATTCTATAATCTATCGGATTACACACAGTCTGCTATAACACATTTTATAAAATTCAAATTTTATTGCTAGTAGGATTTGAACTCTTGTTCTGCTGCTTGGAGTGTGACAATTTACCAACTTCACTAAGTTGCCATACCCAGTAACTTGATTATTTAAAAAATTAGAATTATAAATTTTAGATTCAATAATAATCTAACTAATTTTTATAAACTATAGTTTATTTATTATTATTTTTTTTTTTTTAATATTAATGGTGAGGCCATGCCTCTATCGTTATTGAATATTTAATTGAGATTATTACATAAAGCACTAATCTACTTTTAAAATATTATAAGAAGAATAGAGACTCAGACTAGTTTATCTGCAGCTTAAACCAACTGGAGTGGCCAAGGCTCATTTAGATTTGGGTATTAGTAATTATATAAGAAAGATTGGTTTGGTATTTGATCCAATATATATACCAAGAATTTATCTTGAAGCTAATAGAAGTAAAAGGAAGAGGTTGGGATATGTGCGAAGTAGAATTAGAAGGTAGGTTATCAGTAAAAGAATGGGCTGTTGATCTAAAAATACAATGGAGAATCCAGATTTTATGATAAACTTGTTGATTAAGATGAAGTAAATTTGATAACAAGTGTTGCAGCTATTTTTTGGATTGATAAGTTTGAAACTGAAGTGATAATTTTATTTGGTATTAGGCCAGATAGTGTTAAGAAAACTGAAGGTGTATTTGGTATATTGTATATAGTCATGCAGTATAGTTGTTTAATCTCATGATTCAAATTTGTTATAATATCATTGGTAGTGTCAAGTGTGGTTGTGTTGAGAGTATGTTGTAATGAATCATCTATTAAGGGTAGAAGGTACAAATTGTAAATTATATATAAAACTCATTGCATTTATTTTTTCTTTTTAAAATTTTACAAAATTTTATTAAGCCAATTATTTTAAGCTATTATATAAAAATTATAGAGCAGGTTTTTCTGATTCTAATGATAGAAAATTATTTATTAAAATTGGTTTAATATTTGGTAAGATATGACTATTTAAATTTTAGATATCAAAGTTAATTACAAAAATCATATGATGATCATATGATATCAACTAATCAAAATTAATCATTTTGTGTAACTGAGGCAAATTTGAGCCCACTGAGGCAAACTTTACAATATATAAAAATTTAATTTTTTTAAATATTTTATATATTAAAATTTTGCTATTATAAAAAGAATGTCTTGTTTTATATATTATAAAATTTTGATTAAAAATAATTATAGTTTTAAGAAGTTTTATTAGTAGCATATTTTTATTTTTTATATAAATCTTATTGTACCACTAAAATTATATGACAAATGATCTACATACTCCCTATCCTTAAATTGAATAGTAGCTGGTCAGATAGACAGGTTATCTAGTAAAAATGAGAGCTGATATGATGGCATTGATGGCAAGCAGATGAATATGAATGATATCATTTGTGTAAAATATATGGAGCAGAGAGTTCATCTAGTAAGATTTTAATCCTAAAGGACTTGAGAACAGAAGATTGAAAACTATGCGAGAAGTTAGAAATTTTTTAATTGTTGTTGATATATAACCAAGTGGTTTGCTAATTAATTTGTTTAAAAATTTTGTTCCATTTTTGAAAACAGTTTTGTATTATCTATAATGTATAGATATAAGCATGGCATATTGTATGAATACTATGGTGAGTAGGTAACTCTAAAGGAAAACTCTCAAAAGTTAGAGTATAAGATGGATTGTAGATATTATAAGGCATAAATATAAGATATAGTAAATTATAGTGGTTGTGTGCAAGTTGGTCAGCAAAATTGTTATAATTGTCATCTTGATAAGCGGTAACTTTGTAAAATATAATATGAATATTATAAGATTTGAAAAGTTAATAAGTGTATTTCATAGTGAAAAGTATGGTGTATGTGTATATGAAAGGGTGGTAGAAGAATGCACAAGGCTTTGATATTTAGAAATTACAGATTAAGAATTAGTATATATATTTATAGTGCAGTTTCTGGGAGCAGTAATAAAAATAGCTACAAGTTCTGCCTTAAATGAACAAGGCCAGAGTTTTGTCTGAGCATAAAATGTATGTAGTATTGAGAGATTTGAATCCATCCAATACCCATAGAGCATTGTGGAGTTCCTAAATCAATAACAGAGCCATCAGTATAGAAGTGAAGTTCAAATAAGTTAGAATTGTAGTTGGCAATTTGTTAAAGATTATTTGTTGACAAGCTAGGTTCAAAAATTATTGGAATTGAGTGTATAGCAATACAAATATTAGGTAAACTTGGGGTTTGAATAGGGTGTCTAGTTGCAATAGAATACATAAGGTCTAGATGGTTAGCATTAAAGTTAAGGGTTTTGTTTGATGTATTTACTCAGCCAAAAAAT